GAGCACTACCAGGAGTGACCAGGAATAACGGTCACAAGCTGGCAGAGGGTAGATTTAGGCTAGATATCAGGAGGCGCTACTTCACTGTCAGGGCGGCTAGGATCTGGAACCAACTTCCAAGAGAAGTGGTGCTGGCTCCTACCCTGGGGGTTTTTAAGAGGAGGCTAGATGTACACTTTGCTGGGGTCATTTGACCCCAGTACTCTTTCCTGCCATGGCAGGGGGTCAGACTTGATGATCTGCTCAGGTCCCTTCCGACACTACCAACTATGAAACTATGGAGAGGGCATTCAGAGGTGAGGTGGCTCAGAGTTTGAATAGGGGCCCCATAGTTGGAATTTGGGATCAGCCCTTGCACCTCTGCTGTTTTAATATTTACATTTGTAACCTGGGTGGTATGTGGAAGGTATCCCTTCTGTAACTGAAGGGATTCAGTGGGTGTGTGTATGCTGTGGGGAGTCTGGTTACCTAGCTGCAAGCCAGCTCACCTCCTTTTTCTGCAGAGTGGATCAGAGACCAAGGACACCAAGTGATACTTAACTATTTACAGGTTTAATGATATAGCATTATATAAAACTTGCAACCATGAACTCTTATGTACATATGTCTGTGTGTATATGTGTAAGTATATGTTATTTACAGATATAGGCTTACACAGGCAATAGCTCTTATTAACCCTTGACTCAGGCACAGGACTAGTCCTCTGTGGCCTTCCTATTAGTCTGCAGCCTCTGCCCCCATTTACAGGGCCCTCCAGGCAGCAAGCAAAGAGCACTTAATGATGAAACACAGGTTAATCAACAAAACAATGACAAGAATATCTGGTAGTGATTGTACATGCACAATCAGGTTGCATCAAATAAGTCACAAATATATTTAGATAACCCATACAATTAGTTCAGATACAAAACAGTATACAATCCTCTTCTAATAAATAATAAAGACACAGGGTTACAACAAGAATCCCAAAGGCTTAAGGAAAACAGACCACCACAGTGGTACAGCAGCTATTCCCAAAAAAAGAATGGCACCCAGGGAAGGATCCCATTACCTAGAAGAACAACATTACCATCTCTTAGATCCCTCAATTAGGATGGGGCCTGTAACCATGAAAGCCTTTGAATGAAGAGGCCCTAGACCCCTCTTTTGCCCATGGGTGAATTGTCTCCCCTCCTCAGGGGCTTCCTGTTGTTCACCTGCAGTGGGGAAGGCCCTCCGTCCCTGTGGGAATCCCCTTCCTGGGTAACTCATGACTTCCAGCAGCTTTTTGAGGGTTGGGCTCATCTTTATCCATGTAGGTGGGGCGTCCTCCCTTGCTGGGGGTGGTTGTCCCTCCAGTCATTGCTCATGGCAAGGAAGGCCCGAGCTGCCTCATGCAGCCACTGGGGCCTGTCAGCCCTCTCTTGCCCCATCACCACCCTGCATGCCAAAGAGGCACCTACCTACAGCAGGAATGGGAACCCACGCTTCCTCACACAGCCATGGCATCCCATCAGCTCTACAGCCCTGGGCACCGATCTGTGCAAGGCATGCCTGTCTCCTGCCTTGTACAGGGTTGGGAACCTGCGCTGCCTTGTACAGTCACCACATCCTGTCAGCTCTATGGCCCCGTGCATCAATCTGTGCACCAATGGCCCAGCTCCTGCTTCTTGCAGGGGTGGGGACTGACGCTGTCTTGTGCAGCTGCTGTGGTCCCCTTCAGCTCTCCACCAGCCCCATGCCCTGCTCTGTGCACTGAAGGGGCTGGGTTCCTGCCTCATGCAGCGTTGGGGACCTGCACTGCCTCGTGCAGCTGCCGAGGTACTGTACGTTCCTATATCCTCTCCAGCCCTGTGCAGTGACCTGTGCACTGAGGGCTCCTGCATCATGCGGGGTTGGGGACCCATGCTGCCTTTTGCAGCCACAGCTGTCCACCAGCCCCGTGCACCACTCTGTGCACCAAAGGGTCTGGGTTCCTGCTTTGTGCAGGGTTGGGGACTCGCCCTGCCTCATGCAGCTGTGGTGTCCCTTCAGCTCACCAAGCCCCGTGCAGATCTCTGTGCACCAAAAGGGCTGGGCTTCTGCCTCATGCAGGGTAGAAGACCTGCACTGCCTTATGCAGCCACTGAGGTCCCATCCACTCCTGGACACTGTGCACTGATGCTGCAGCTCCCTTTGTGGTGGGGCTGGAGACACAGCTGCTTGCTGCTCCCTGCTAGGTGGCAGCATCTTCTGTGTACTTCTGGGGCAACTGCTACCTCCTGCTGGTCAGCTCTACTAGCTCTTAACAAGCCCTCATCTTCGTCATCTCTTGCTGACAACCGCCCATGTGCTGGGCAGGAGGGCTTTTATCCCTTCTGGAGGCTCTGCCCCAAATTGAAAATGGACCAATAGGAAAGCCTGGGGGGTTAGTTTCCCCCTCAGCTCCTCTTCTTCACCCTGGTCCTGGGTCAGGGCGGGGCATGCTTGCCTCCTGCCTCCTCCTGATTGGTGGAAATGCCCCACCAATTGGCCTGAGCCATTTTGGGCTCAAGTTAACAATCTGTGCTGCCAGCGAGCCCACCAGCCAGCCTGCCACACATTCATGACCTCCCAGGAAGTGTCTACATTGTTCTTGAACTATAAACAAGCTGGTCTTTATCAATCCATTATTGTTTTCCCAGCTCCTATGTTATAATGGTACTTCTAAGTGTTTAGGAATCATCCTAGATAGAACATTGCCCAATAAAAATCACTTAACTATGACAGCAGCTAAGTTCAAAACCCATAATAATTTGCTCCAGAAACTCACTGGGACTTCTTGGGGACCTGCTGTTGATTCAGTGAGGACAGCAGTTTTAGTGCTGGTCTACTCTTGGTGGAATACTGTGTCCCAGTCTGGTAAAACGGTGCTTATGCTGATAAGGTTGACATAATACAACCAAGCAATGCAAATCGTTATAGGAACAACCTGATCCAACCCTTTCCAATGGCTCCCTATTCTTAGTAACATACACTCTCCCCCATTAAGGAGAAAAATGCCTTAACTAAATTATGGATTAAAATAAAAAACCCTCAGCTGCCTATACATGAAGATCTCTTAAACTCACTGTGTCCGAGATTAAAATCTAGCCATACCGCTTGGAGAAGAGCAGTTCAATTTGAGCATTTAACATCCAAGATGCCAGGATGCAAGAATGACTTAATTCACCCCTTAATACAGATATTATTATTAGAAATCTGATTATTAGACCAGCTGGCTTTGATCTTTGTAGACATGTGGGGTAGGCACAGACAGTCAAAAAGCCTGAGGCTGAATCAGTTGGCCAAGTTTGTGGATGACACCAGCTTATGGGGGTGTGTGGTCATGCCTGAAGTTACGCTGCAGATTCAGGTGGACCTGGACAGGCTGGCAAGTTGGGCAGATTGGAACCAGATGAAGTTCAACACTGAGAAGTGTAAAGTGTTCCATCTAGGGTCAAACAATCTTCAACATACCTACAAGCTAGTTGGCTCCAATTTGATTAGCACCATGACCGAAACGGACCTAGGGGTAATAACTGACCATCGCGTGAACGTGAGCAGTCAGTGCAGTGCTGTAGCCAGGAGAGCAAACGAGATGTTTAATGTTTCTTCATTCAGCTCAGGAAAGAAAGGGACTGAAGCAGTAGGACCTAAAGGACCAAATTAGCCACAATGCTCTGGGAATCTACGTGTCAATCAGTCGATCAGTCTTGATTTTATTATTGCACAGAAAAAGAATTCTTTTCCATATACCTATATTCATTACCAATACATACCAACATTCAGGATGCTACATCTGACTGGGTTTTTGTAGCTGTTGTGAATGTCCTTGTTGTTTCTGAGACTATAGGCAACAGGGTACTAATGATAACATCTAGTCAGGCTTCAGGGACATGAGGTAATATATTTGAACTTTTGATTTTTAGATTGAATTGTACTACCAGATTTCAGAGGAAATGTTGAAGGGAACATAGCACCTTTCTTCAGTCAGGAAGTAAAAGCAGGTTCTGGAAAACAAAAAATTGAAAGGCAAGAAAAGAAAAAGAACAGCTCTAATTTAAAAAAAATTACCATTTTGGAGAGCTAAATGTATGGAATTTCAAATATTTTCAAAATGTGAGGCAGGGGTATAATCATCCTGAAAAACTGAGAGAAAGGGAGGGAGCATTAGTTTAAGTGTTGTAAAATGTTTGCCAAGTTGTTGTAATTAATGTTGAGTACTAACAATGAGAAACCGAAGTACTTTCAATTTTAGGGTAAATTGGCAGGTTTGTGTGGAAATTTTGACAAGTACACTTCAAATGATCTGACAACATCTAACAACATGGAAGTGAGAAATGCTCAGGTTTTTGGAGAAAGCTGGACAATAGGACAGGTAAGTAATTTTTTTTGCCATTTCACTGTTTATTTTTGAGGTATTCATTATTAATGAACATGTGAATACTTAGACTGCTGATATCTTCTACACCAGGGTGGTATGGTACCTTGTGGTACTGTGAGATCCCTTTAAGGGTGTGGCAGAGTTCTGCACAATATTAGCATTGTTAGGTGTGCAAGAACCTGCATACGGTTCACAAGATTGACCCAGAGACTTCAAATAGGAATTCATGGCAAAAACATTCAGACCTATTTATAATCTTTCTGAGTTCTTTGCAATAGACCACTTGCTCTATTATTTTTCCATAGTCAAGAAATGAGTGAAACCTAAGAGCAGGTATTTTCCAAGGAATGCCTTGAGTCTAACAAAGGTTGAGAACCAAGTTCTAAACTGCCAATTTAATCGATGCACAGAAGGAAATCTGAATACTTCTAGAGCAGAGGTGTTCAACCTCTGGCTCACAGGCCAAATGTGGCCTGCCAGAGCCATTACATCTAGCTTGTGGGGCTCCCTATGGGGTGGGAAGTTTGGTGGTGGGGCAATGGTGGCCATTTTAACGTTGTCACCCTCCTGCCAAATTCACAGACTCCAAGGCCTGCGCTGTCTGTCGCAGTTGGGCAGTGTTCCCTTCCCTACATCTGGATTGGGGCTGAGCCATGCCTTGTCACCTGTGAGGCGAAGCCACTTCCCCTTCCCTCCCAGAGCTGGCCCACACCCCTTCCTCCACCGGGCCTCGTTGGGCTGGTCCATGCCTCCTTTCCCTTGTTGAGCCACTTGGGGGGGCAGGCCATGCCCCTTTCCCTGTGGGACCAAGCCACACCCCCTTTCCCCATGGACGCAAGGGAATGACTTGGGTTCCCCTTTCCCCTTGGACCCCCCGACAGGGCTGGGTTTGGGCTGGGCCATACCCCCATTCCACCGCTGGGCTGGTTCCAACTTGCTTTGATGCCTCCTTCCTCCCTCAGGACCAATCCACACCCTCTTTCCCCCATAGAGCTGGGCCATGCTCTCCCTCTCTGCAGGTCCAGGTTGGGCCATTTCCCCTTCCCTCCCCTCCATTCATCTCCCCTCCCATGGCCAAACCACACACACCCTTTTTCTCCACGGAGCCAAGCCACACTTACCCCATGGGTGGCACTATGCCCCCTGCCCTACAGAGCTGGGTTGCAGCTTGGCTTCCCCTGCCCCCCACCCCAGGTGGCCAGATGTGCCCCACTGCACCTGCCATGGTGCCCGATCAGGACCAGTGGCAGGATCCAGCCTACAGACAGATGGGGCACTGCTCACCAGGCCTGAAGGGGGAAAAGGTTGAACACCACTGTTCTACATAATTTTTTCTCTGAAGTTTCAAGGTGGCTCTGGTACTACATTTTCCTGCCGTATCTTGACACATACATGGTGCTAGGCTTAGTTGAAAAGCCAAAGTAATTACCAGATGACTTTTTATGAACAAAAAATCATATTTTATATAGAAAAAAAACTAGAAGCTATGAAGTGTAGCTATAGTTGTGAATTTACTCAAATTTAGAGTTGTTCTGGATCTGATATTTTAGATTGGGCCCTTATTTCTTCTCTCTTGAAGACAGGTATGATGTGGCTTTTCCAGGAATTCCAGTTGATGACATTGATTTGCATTGATTACAACAGTGTGCTTGTACAGTGCTGAGCTAGAAAACTTGAACCTTGGGAATTCAACAATGACTTAAATTCGTTAAACTCTAGTGGCATGTCCAGATGAGCATGCATGTGCAGGGGTGTGCATTTGCTATGGCACAAATAGTAGCAGCACATATTTGTGCTTCTGCTTTGTGCCCCAGGGCACACCCCTGCACATGCACTCTGGTATGCTCTAAATTGTCCGGGGTGGGGTAGGGCAGGCTGAGATGAGCACCTATGCTGGCCCCAACAGCTTTACTTGGGGTCCTGGTGGCCTCCCAGGGCAGCGGTGATGCTGATCTGGCTGCACTGAGCCTGGAGCAGCCACTTTTTTTTTTTTTTGCAGAAGTGTTTTTTGACACCAGAAACTCCTAGTATCAAATCTTGGTACTGGACTGCAAATTTTCAGTGCAGCAAATGGTTGGACATGTGCCATGTGTGGTTTGTGGCACCTTAGACAGCCTTGGGGTACTGCAGACCACATATGCACATTCATCTGGATGTGCCCTAGGTGTCTTTCAGCATTAATGCTTTCCAGCCTCTCCTTGCAACTGAGGGCAATATATTTTGGATGAACTTGCTGTTGCCAAGTTAAGCGTCATTTTGTTCTTTTTCATTATTATTATTTGTTTTTCTTTCTGCAGAGAGCTTTTTTTAAAAAAAAAAGTTTTTGTGTTATCATGATGACTTTTGACTTTTTTTTTTGAGTTAATCTGTTCCTACTGTTGTTGCTTAATTTGAACTTAGAGGGCTAAAGTTAATGCTTGTGTGACTCCATTTAGAGTCAATAGCAAAACAGCAGGGATGTGTTTGGCCTATAAAGTTCTGTTTGTGAAATTACTACTGGTTGTTCTGGAAATTATAATGATGTTTCACAAGGAAAACATTTTGTCTTCATCTAACAAGCAACAGGCAAGAACTAAAAGCAAGTATTCTTTTTCATGCAAGCATTTTTAACTATAGAATCAAAGATGGGCAGAAGAGGCCAAATACAGAAAATTTCCCCTGTTTAGTCTACCTTTTTCAATTCCCTGCTGGGAATTGAATTTATGATTTATGAACTGGGAATTCTTATTTATGATATGAAAAGTATATTGCAGCCAAGTCTATAGTAAACTTATTTCTATAAATAGCTTCTACTCCTTTCTTTTAAGTGCAAAACCCCAAATGAAACTATTAAACCATGTGAAGTGCATCAAAGCAAATTCCCTTATGCCAAAAAGGAATGCTCGGTTTTGTACAGTGATGTGTTTGCGCCTTGTCGTAATGTGGTAAGTTAGCATTTTATTTAATATTCAAAGATCAACTAAGTTGTTCTGTAACAAATAAATAATTGTTGGTTCTTGAATATTTGGCTACTGAGACTCAAAACAAATCTATCTGAATACTATAGAGGACACTGGATAAGGGCCCAATCCTGCAGTGAGCTCCATGTGGGTTAGTTCCTCCATTTGCAGAGTTCTTTGCAAGATTGGAGCTTAAGTTTGGATCATAAAGGTTTTGGACAATTGGAAGTTTCAGTATTATTAAATGTCATGGACGTGGTACTCTGTTAGATAACAGGATGTCTTTGGTAAGTAAGTTTTTTGATAATTAATATTTCTATTTATGGTTCTTATTCTATGGCTATGTTTAAGGCTACTTGCACATACTGAAGAATTCTGAAAACATGAAAAACTCACGTATCATGTTGTCACATGTGGCAAGTAATATGAGAAGCTGAAGACACGCAAGTATGGTTTCACCTTAGTGGTTCTCTTCTGTTATCTGTTCTGCTGGTTACCTTTAGAAGGTGCAGGATCATGAGAAGTTTGACTTCAGAGCCACTACAGTGTTATGGATACACTTTGTCTAGCTTTATCAAAGATTTATGTATGATGCCTTTGCTTTTCCAATACCTAGTTTACATAGGGGACTTGGATTACAGCAAGGTACTTCAGGCTGAGTCCTGACATGACAGTGATGACCAGGGACCCTGGTTTTCTTTGATTTAAAAACCCAAAATCCATTATTAAAATTAAAGGCCCCCCACAGCCCCTCCCTCCCGGTGCTGCTGGTGCCTCTCACTCTCCCCCCACAGCCTCCTCAGCCCTCCTGATGCCCCTCGCTCCCCCACAACAGCCTCCCAGCCCCACACACCGGCACAGACACTGTTATCCACCCCAGCAGGTAAGTGTGTGTGGGGGGAGAAGGGGTGGGGCAGGTCAGGGGAAAGGCAAAGTGCTGGGGAGGGGAAGTGTGCCCCTGTGCCCACACCCATGAGCAGAGCTGGAGGGTGAGGGCAGGGGTGCCCCTCTGTGCACCGCAACCATGCCAGCTGGCCTGATGGGGGTTTGCACATGGTGGCTGCCATTGCAAATCTTCTGCTGCGCCCTGCACTGCTTTCCCGTGGCCGGCTGCACAGCTTTGCAGACAAGCGGTGTGGGATGTAGCAGTGGCCACTGCATGCAGGCCGCACATGTACTGCCCGGCTGGCAGGGGAGGGAGGAGGGGGGACCTGGATGTGGTAGTCACCACTGCTGTTGCTTGCCTGTGGAGCGGTGCCTGCGCAGAGGCAGCCACTGTGCATGAGCCCCCCTGTCCATGGGCATGGCTCTGAAGACAAGTGGCAGCACTGGTGCAAGGTGGTGGCAGCTGGCATGTGCAAAACCCCCTGTCCCTGCCAGGTGGCATACAGCTGCCACCACCACCATCCCGTGCCACTGCTGCCGCTTGTCTAAGGAGCCCCCAAACAGCCCACACTTTAACAAAGCAGATCATAATATGCATGTTGGTTTGGATTTTTTGTATCTGATGTTACAGGTGACTTCAATTTAAAAAGTGACTTTTTTCATCTATGCAGATAGTGCAGTTCTGATTACATTTCCCTTTCATGCAGTGATTACATTACTTGTGCCTTTGACTTCTAGGCTTCAAAAAGCCTGAGCCTGAATTGATTCAATCTTTGCAGGTTAATCTAACTTGGCTAGGCTAAATCAGTTTTGTAACCAGACAGACATCCCAGAAAAGCAGGCACCTGCCTGCAGTGGCTCAGGCTAGAAGTCAGGAGCCGCTAGAGCAGCCCTCCCATCCCTTCCACAGAGCTGAGCTGAGGGGGGCATGGCCAGGCCCCACAGGAGGCTCTGATTATGGAGGGGTCCCCCCGTTCTGAACAGCCCAGCAGGGAATGTTTATTACCCCAGTAAGAAAAGAGGGACATTACCAGCTCTCTGTTGATTCTGCCTTTGTCCCAGGTGCCACAGGTAGCCAGCATGTGGGCTGCTAGCGAATACTGAGAGGTGTCTGTGAGGGACCAGGGAATGTCTGCTTAGCAGAGAGTGGGGAGTGGCTGAGGGGAGTAGGCAGGTGCTGCTGTAGCTGCAAGTCTATGCCAAAGCTGCAGCCAGGGAGCGGAGGGGAGGGGCCAGCCCTGCTGTGGTGCAGAGAGCCCTGAAACAGCAAGGGGTATGGGACAGATTGCATAAACCAGTTTGAGCCAAATCAGTTGAGTCTGATACTACATTCAACCAGGTTTATCTGAAACCGGTTTCAGTCATTTTCAAACTGGTTTATGTGCACTGAACATCTGTTCTGTTGCAGGTTTAAACCAGTTTCTGATCACTAAACAAGTTTGTGTAATGTCTGTCCCTAGCCTATAACGTGCACAAAAAGGTTAATAATTCAGTTTTATACTGCCCAGTAATTTTCTGTATCTTAGTAGCATGTGGAATTCAAGTTTCAAGCTATGGTACCTATACTGCATGTGTAACAAATGGATGCTGTGTTAAAATATGTGTCTGATGGAAATATTTTTTATAGGCCCAATATTTTTTTTCAGTTTTAGATCATGCTCATCATTTGTATGTTAGATTTAGAGAAATTCTATGTACATTTCGAGGTATTCTGTTATAAGTTTGTTAGATGTAACGTTTGAATGATGATTGTGATCTAAATCTATTCCAAAGAGATGAAGCCTCCATGTTTTGTTCTTCCTTTCTTTTTTCTTATATTTCCATTATTTTAAAAAGAAGCATCAAAAATATTTTTCCTTCAGGAATTGTTGCTCCAATACAGAAAAGGTTATTTTACAATAGTAGTATGAAAACATTGATCCTTCTGAATCATGGTGCATGTGTGAGAGGGCACTAGGATCTTTGATGCATATGCCTAGGCAGGAGAATGGAGGAACAATATAAGTTGAAGAAATATACTGGAATAGTTTTTACTTTAAGTATTAGAACTCTGTGTGGCACGAAGAAGGAAATGTTTGTTTAAGCTAAGGCAAATCCAGGGAAAATTATGTAATAAAAATATTTTAATGTTATTTAAATAACCTTCTCAAGAGAGACAGTCAAATACTTTCAGGTCATCTTTGTTATCTAAGCTGACTTTCTTACCTTCCTCCTCCTCCTCCCCTTCCCCCTTGTCTCTCTCTCTCGCTCTTTTTTTTTTTTTTTTTAAGTAAAGTAAATCAGCCTTATTACAGCTCTGTTCATGTTATCCTTAGCACAAAACTACAAAGATTACACTAGATGGCAGCATTTGCTTTAAATATAGAATTATTTCAATCTTTGGATAAATTTCACCTTTAGAAAAAATCCAAACAAAAATAGAAAAAGTGTAGGCAGATATTCTCATTAACTTAAATGAATTCATTTTAAGTTTTCTAAGCAGATAGTATTAAGGAAAGTGGAAAGCAGAGAGATACTTCATCAGGACTTTTAACATGCTGTCGGGTTCCTGTAGACCATGGGTTCCCAACATTTTTATGCTGCGGCCTGGCAAACTGTGGCCCAGCAGTCCCAGCTGACCATGGCCAGAATTTCTGGCCAGCAGACAGGTAAGGATACCCCCACCCACTGGGTGGGGGGGGGGGG